GTATATAAAAAGGATTAGAATTATTATAAATATCATAATAAGTATCTCATATTTATTTAAACAATTACTTAATATTCTGAATATGATATATAATAATTCGATCTATCTAATTACAGTAAAGCTGCATAGGGTCTTTCCGTCACACTATAGGTACACAGCATCTTCACTGCGATTTCAATTTCACTTAGCTTAAAGGGGAGACAGTTGTTGTATCATTACGTCATTCATGCAGGACCATAATTAGTGGACAATGAATTTCGCTACCTTAGAACCCTCAAAATAAGGCTGCTATTTACCTAAATTTAATTATATTATCTTTTAATAATATAATTTATATATTAAGCATGGAGCAGAGTTCACACCTTATACTTTAACTTATCGTTTCTGCAAAGTGCGGTGTTTTTAGTAAACAGTTGGACAACTTTGTTCTTAATATTCCCTGATTATTTAAACGTTGGTGACATCCCCTCCTTGTTCCGGAAGGTTGAATTTTTCAATAAAACCGTCTAATTCGTAAATACTTATCATCGACCTTGAAAAACTCAAAAGTTCATTAATTCATGCTTTTGTTGCTGTTCGTCGTGAAATACTCCTGATTTTTATTTTTGGCTGACGGACAACCTCTTCTCGATTTCGAATATAAGATCTCTCGCTTAAAGTTAAGACAAGCTGTTGTTCACGATGAAAATATCCGTATCTTGCTCATTAAAACGGACCGCTGCACCTTTAGTATAAATATCATTTATAACGTACAATATTCTTGTGTAAACCGTCCTCCGCAAGTTAATAGCCGAGCGAATTTACAAGGCACATATATATGCATGAACTAATTAATTACATAAACACAGGAAACATGCACTGTCTTATTATGTAATATGATGCATGCACACGAATGCCAATCAGGATGCTTAGACGATTGATGTGTTAAATGAGAGCGTGCAGTATATATTAAAAGAAATTCATTTCAAAAAAGTTAAAAAATCATGAACAAAATAGAATTATTACCATAGAAAAAATCTTTCAGCATGCAGGTCTGGTTCGCTGCTTTCCCGTTGAAAAGGGTCTTAGCGGCTGTTTTTTCGAAAAAAGAACCAATTTAACGGTAGAATTCTTTTTGCTTTCAAAAAGAAAGAAAAAGCAAAGAAACGTTAGACCTTTCTAAACCGTTTGTGTACAGTTTACGAAAAGCAAATCATAGCCAAGAAGAGAAAGTTCATAAGCAGAGAGCTAACAAAATAGGAGAATGACTTTCCGGGTTCGGAATAGCTGGCCGATTTTTACGGTAACTTCAATAAAAACTATGTTCAGGTTGGAAAGTGGTAACCGAGTTAATAATATCGGTCTCATGAAAGGAAGACCGTCATAGTTCAACATATACTCATTTCACTTACCCAAAAACTCAAAGTGTTTTCAAAGAAGGGATACATTTAGCGAGAGGGTTTAGCATATACGAAATATCATAAAGGCTATATGCGAAGTCATTATCTAGATTCTCTAACTAACGCTCCGCTAGCAGGTTTTACGGACAGGCCATACCGTGAGATTTTTAACAGCTTTCATTTTTAAGAGTAATATCTTGCTGGCGCGCGCAAGGCTTATCGGCATCCTTGAAGAACTTTCCAATTGAAATGGCGCTCACTTACAGAAACAAAACAAAACAGTGAAGGTTTTAATCCCAAATGCTTGCTTGCTAGAAGTCATTTTGGATTACCAAATTTTGTTTGTTTTCCCTGGTATGTCGCCCATATGACAAAGTGCCTCTGTGTCGTATCTAATTACGACCCTCTCGATTAGGTTGAAATGATTAGTTGGTCAGTTCTGTCCTCTTCTTTCTTCAACTTAATTCCATGGTAAGCTTAGAAATTGCAAATACGTAAAGCTATAAATTGGGGTCTTATTGTGAACCCCATTATCTCTGATAGTCTTATGGTCTTTTAGTGTTTCAGGATTTCTTGGTAATATTATTGTTTCATGAAACAGGCTGCTATCAGATGAGAGATGGTTATGAAACAAAAGGGAATATAAAATAGGAAAGCTTCTAGGGCGGTTAGTGTAGTGGTTATCATTCCACCCTTCCAAGGTGGAGACACGGGTTCGATTCTCGTACCGCTCATTCTATACACCAACAAAAGATATATTTTTGCCTCCGTTCAAAGGCATATCCTGTGAGACGTTCTTTTTTATCGTTCGAACTTCGAACGGTTCGAACCTTCTGTTGCATTTTGCATATTTGCCTGCATATAAAACAATAATTTATGTTCTTAGGCAACATGCAATGCCATGCAAAGGAGAACTGTTCTCCTCAAATAGCTAGTAAGACAGTTGGAAGATCGTTACATGTGCGTACATTGCATGTGCATAAGGGGATTCTCGCTGGCTCCTTTTTCTTCGTGTGCCTGTAAACTCTTCTCGAAGAGGAGCTATGCATCCGCGCAATTGTTATCAGACCTCGGTGTTCGGCTTTGGTGTTGACGCCGGCCAACATCAATATTTTAGCTTCTACAATTTAGCACGGTATATTTTATAAGCTTTACGTAAATCTCACCACATAATGATGAGGTCTTACCGAGTAGATGGACGAAGCATTTAAAAAAGATTTAAAACGCTAATGTAGAGCTCTCAATTGTATTCAGACTGTAGAAATCAAGCTTAGTTTTAACACAGAGGTTGTAAAAATGTTACCGGGCCTTATGTCTCATTTTACAATATGGGCTCTGGGACTTTTCGCATTGTCCGTAAATGCTAAAGATCTCGGTAATGTGTTCAACAGCTTAAGCATTACGCCCGAATCTAATACAGAAAACTTACCACAAGGCGTGTGGGATGCCCAGTTAGGCTTTACTTTTACTGACGCTATGAATGTTCAAACGGGAGATACGTTCACACTGGATCTCCCCAACGTATACAAAGTATATGGCTCTGGAAGCTCTGATTCCAGTTTCACTATAAGTTCATCATCTGGAAGTCAATTAGCTACTTGTTCGGTCTTTTCTGGAACTTCGTTAACAACAGATTCAAGAATCCTTTGTACGATTACCAGTACAAACATCAACCAACAAGCGTCGCTCGGTGATATTCAAGGATCTTTAACTATTCCCTTTATCTTTTCCGTAGGAGGATCAGCCAGCAGTGCTGATTTGACTGCCGCAAAGGTATACACGCCTGGCACAAACACCATCACCTGGAATCAATTGTCTGCTACTGTTTCTTTTGCTGCTGGTCCAACTTACACACCAGCTCTTGCCAATGGATATGATGAGGCTACGGATCCCAATTACTTCGTGCGCACCTCTATCAATAATGAAATCCAATCATATTTCGTAGGGTCTCAATGTTCCTCAGGTAACGTGGCTGAAGAAAAGATACAGATTTCCTTCGCAGGTTATTCTAGAGGCGATGCCGATACTGGTGAATTAGTCTCGTGTGACAATATTCAGGTTCAATTATCAAATCAATTCAATAGCTGGCTGATGCCAGAAACCGCAGAAAGCGGATCAACGATAAGTTACACCTGCTCGAACAATGTAGTAACTGTTGACGCTAAAGATATTCCAAGTGGCTACAGGGTGTACGTGACAGGCTATCAAATACCCTCTAACTCCGGTAACCCAATTACAATTATGAATTCTTATCAGGACAATGTCACGTGCTCAGATGGTACCACCACTAAGAAATCGTTTAGTATCAGGACCCAACTTCAACTTGCCGCATCGTCCGGTGAATACCAACCATTTAATATTGTCACTAGTACATACCCCGGTGATGTAACCACAATAACAACTGTTTTGGCAACAGGAGGAACAGAGACTTACATTGTCTTGGTTCCAACTCCTAGAACCACGATAACAAAAACATACGATGGAAGTGCGATTACGACCAAAACGCTAGACCACACCTCAGGCGCTTCCTATCTAACTGTTGAGGTTGACATACCAACAAGGACAAAGACTACTACTATTCCTTGGACAGGAACATCGACTACCAGCTACTTGATTACAACTGGAAGTACATACACTCAGGTTGTGGAGACACCCGCATCGCGTACGACCATCACTCATACCTGGACTTCTCGAACACACTCGACCACTACTGATACCTTCAATCCATCCTCTGGTAATATTGTTACTGTGGAGGTTTGGCAACCGAGCTTCACAACGACGACTACCACTGTTTACACGACAGGTGCACAAGAGGTACGCTCTACACAATCATACTCAGACGCCGATCAAACTGTTACGGTTGTTGATTACAAACCGTACCCTAGAACAACTACATTTGTTCCCGCAACTAGCACATCGTATTTTAGTACATCTTACTTGACAAACAGTCTTTCGCAAACAACAGGAATGGAGATTTTCAAGTATGCTCCAGTGCAAACCGTCACTAGCACGTATATCTGGTCTAGCACCGTCACATCTACGTCCACTAAGGCCACAACTGCTGGAGCATCTGTGGTAACTGTCGTGGTTGATGTGCCCCCTTACACGCAGAGTGCTAACGGTTTATGTGGCCCTACCAATGGTGTCACTGGCTTACCTTGTTCAACTGGTTATTACTGTAACCATGACAATTCAAACAGTCAGTATTGTGCATCGATTGGAACGAAGACACTGACAAGCTATTACGGGCAATCAACTACATCCGTAACTACATTACCATATGTTACCTCGGATACTACTGTCGTTGTGTATGTGCCACCTAAAACGACCACTGTAACTGCGGTCTGGCCACATGTCTCTTCCTTCACTCAGACAGAACCTTACGTTTCGGGTTCCTCCGTTGTAAAGGTCGACGTTTTCATCCCTACCACAACCACAGTTAGAAGCACGTGGACGGATACTTCTTTCTCTACAGGGACATTGGTTCCACAATCCGACTCTCCTGAGTATACAGTTGTGATTTATGGGCCTGCGGTCAGTGTTTCAACCTCAGTGACTTCTTGGACTGGTTTGACTACCCTTACAACCACCGTTTCGAGTAACCCTACTCAGGTAACTGTTATTGTCAAAGAGCCAATACCTCGTACGACGGTTACCAGAGGCTGGACCTATTCGACAACAGGGACAACAACATTCAATTGTGGTGATATTGAACAGGCAAACCCTACTGCAAATGTTTTCCACAAGAGAGCTATCAATCCTTACACGCAGGTATGCGATCCACTTGATACAACAACCACTATGATAACTGAAGTTGTACATGTACCATTCACCACAACCACAATTAGCTATCCTTATACTGGCACTACTACAAGTACGTCAATCAGCTTGTCAGATGGAGGTTTGACTTTGACCGATATAGACTACGTTCCAAACACGGCTTGTGCAACCTCAAGTGCTAGTTGCGGAACATTGACAACTTCCGGAGATGAAGTATTTGGCGTCCAAACTCACTGCTGTCAGCTTGGCTTGAGATGTGCTACTGAGTTGACTAATGTTATTTGTATTCCAGCTTCTACACAGACCACTTTAGCAACCAAATATTGGACAAAACAAAGTACCCAAACCACTGTTTATACTACCTATCCTGCAGGTGAACCCATAGTAGAGACGGATGTTATAGTGCCAATTGTAACTGAGACTGTCACGAACACTTGGGGTAACTCCGTCACATCGACAATTACTACGATTTCCGGTGATTCCACTCGCGGGACAGCTACAGTTGTGGTTGAAGTTCCAACTCCTGCTCTCCCCAGCGTTACAATAACTACGGCATGGGATTCGAGCTTCACATCAACGATAACAGTGTCACCTACTAATTCGCAGTCAGGAACAGTTACGATTATCGTTGAAACGCCTCATGCTCAAGCGAACTCTACGACGACCACTCCTTGGACTGGTACTTACACCACCACCTACCAAACTGATGTGACTACATTCACCGGTACCGATGGAATTGAAACAGTTTCGACTCTATACCACGTCGAGACCCCAGCGGCTAACGCCACTTCTACGACGACTACTCCTTGGACTGGTACTTACACCACCACCTACCAAACTGATGTGACTACATTCACCGGTACCGATGGAATTGAAACAGTTTCCACTCTATACCACGTCGAGACCCCAGCGGCTAACGCCACTTCTACGACGACCATTCCTTGGACTGGTACTTACACCACCACCTACCAAACTGATGTGACTACCTACACTGGTACTGATGGAATTGAAACAATTTCCACTCTCTACCACGTTGAGACCCCAGCGGCTAACGCCACTTCTACGACGACTACTCCTTGGACTGGTACTTACACGACCACCTACCAAACCGATGTGACTACCTTCACCGGTTCTGATGGAATTGAAACAGTTTCCACTCTGTACCACGTCGAAACCCCAGCCTCTAACGCGTCGTCAACTATCCCTACTACAAGTGGAAAAGCTGAATCTACGGTAACAACAGGGTGGACTGGCACTTATACGTCAACATATAGCACCGAGGTTACAGTTATAACCCTTGATGGTGTTACAACGACATCTACCATTTACCATGTCGAGACTCCTTCTGTTACGGGTGCTAACGCCACTTCTACGACGACCACTCCTTGGACTGGTACTTACACCACCACCTACCAAACTGATGTGACTACCTACACTGGTACTGATGGAATTGAAACAGTTTCCACTCTCTACCACGTTGAGACCCCAGCGGCTAACGCCACTTCTACGACGACCACTCCTTGGACTGGTACTTACACCACCACCTACCAAACTGATGTGACTACATTCACCGGTACCGATGGAATTGAAACAGTTTCCACTCTATACCACGTCGAGACCCCAAGCGGAAACGCTGTGTCAACCACGACAACCGCCTGGACTGGTACTTACACCACCACCTACCAAACTGATGTGACTACCTACACTGGTACTGATGGAATTGAAACAGTTTCCACTCTCTACCACGTTGAGACCCCAGCGGCTAACGCCACTTCTACGACGACCACTCCTTGGACTGGTACTTACACCACCACCTACCAAACTGATGTGACTACCTACACTGGTACTGATGGAATTGAAACAGTGTCCACTCTATACCACGTCGAGACCCCAAGCGGAAATGCTGTATCAACCACAACAACCGCCTGGACCGGTAAGTATACCACCACCTACCAAACTGATGTGACTACCTTCACCGGTTCTGATGGTATTCCAACCACTTCAACCTTGTACTACGTTGAGACCCCAAGCGGAAATGCTGTATCAACCACAACAACTGCCTGGACTGGTAAGTATACCACCACCTATCAAACTGATGTGACTACCTTCACCGGTTCTGATGGTGTCCCAACCACGTCAACCTTGTACTACGTTGAGACCCCAAGCGGAAATGCTGTATCAACCACAACAACTGCCTGGACTGGTAAGTATACCACCACCTATCAAACTGATGTGACTACCTTCACCGGTTCTGATGGTGTTCCAACCACATCGACCCTCTACTACGTCGAGACTCCTAGATCTGCATTTTACGGAAACACCACCACTAAGACGGTCCCTCATTCAACTTCAATTGAGACTAGTTCCACTTATTTGACTACCAAGGCGACAAGTGTGTCTTCGTCTTTCCAAACTTTGACGTCATCAGTCACGGATGTAACCCAGAGCACACCTTCATCCATCCCAACGGTATCATCTGAAAGCTACTCCAGTATATTGACAACCACAGAAACTGGCGTAGAAACGTCCTTTACTACTACCTGCCCAGAAAGCTCCACATTTTCAAGTGGTGACTTCGAAACCACATCAGATTCGTCGGTTACCTCTACTTCATCATTCTTCCCACAGGGCAGTGAAACTGTTGTGACCACGACAGTTTCTGGTGTTGAAACTTCTTACACAACAACATGTCCGGCTTCTGATACCCACCAAACACCTTCATTTGCAACCAAATCAGAAACTGTCCGCTCAATTATTCCTACTTATACCTCCTCAAGCAGCCCAATCGAAACTGCTAGCACTAAAGTAAGTGAACACATCACCAACGGTGTCACAGCCTCCTACTATCCAACTGGACCACAAGCTTCGTCCACCTTTTCCTCTAGAGAAGGTGAAACGAGTATAGCTTCGCAAATGGGGGCATCTGAAACGAATAGCTCTCCCACACCAACTGATTTTTCACCCCAAGGCATTACGTCTTCTACTTTTGAAAGTAATGGAAGTGGAGTCTCTTCAATCCAAAATGTTCCCTCTGGAGTGAGTCCATCAAATACCATCGTATCCTCGTCTAACGGTTATGCAATGAGCTCTGGATCGTCTTTGAATGGTGGCACTTTAGTCTCACAATTCACTGTTTCTCAGCAGACTAGTTCATCAATCGCTACGACTGGCGCAACTCATTCACTAGTATCAGTGTCGACCTATGAGGGTGCAGCACAAAGAATGAAGACTGGACTGCTCTTGCTTCTGCCTCTAGCACTATTATAATAGCTCAGTAAATTGAAGAGAGGATAGTCAGAATCACTCCCGCCACATAAGCTATTCTGTTCTGCGTTTATGCTGTTAAACATCACTACATAGTCAAATTGCGTGATAACGACAGAATTAGTATATGTAGAATATGATAAAGCTTTGAACGTTTCACATTGTATTAATCCCGATTTTATTTGATCAAAGTAGGGAAAATGTCAACATGCAACTGCTTTTTTCTTTATTCCAACATATAGACAATCTTTTATCTTTTACGACATCGCACTCTATTTGAGACCTTATATATCATATGTGGGGCATTTGATGTCGACATAGTACCAATGATTGAAATATCAGAATCAGGAAATATTTTAACAACTTTTCGGTAAGTGATTATAAGACGCCACTTATATCACATCTCGTGTATTTTGACCGTCATGGCCTCGGTATAATCTAATGCATTATGCAATGTCTGCATCAGCTACTTAAGGGAACTAAATATAGTGGGGGACCATATTTTAATTTTCAAAGCAATTTGATGAAGAGATACGTTAGAAGTACGCTCGAATATGGTGGGGGCACTCGAAGAACACTACGATAGCAGTTAACGTAAAAAACCCGGGAGATGCATATTCATTAAGAGGTTCCATGAGGAAGATCCATCAATTGCTGAAATAAACATGAGCAATACCTGTCTCGTAAGCTATTAAAACGCGGTATTTGTTATGTCATTAAATAAGCAATCAAACTGAACAAAGAATCAACGGTGTGGCGATCAAATAGATCCTTCATTTTAATAGAAAGTGTCAACGAAGATAGGCATAAAAATGAAATATTTGTTAGTGAGCAGCAATAGAATTGATGATCAACTTCTCCAAGCACATCTCCATTCACCCCTCTGGCTAATTTGGTCGCTGATGGGAGTCGAAGATAAAATTCTGTAACTAAAAAAAACACCTGCAGAGAGAAAAATCACAGCGGTTTCTAATAACAAGCTGCGTCTGAATTTGAAACAAGTAATATAATGTAAAACCAATTAGGTGTATCAGGATAATAACCAATAAACAGTAACCTAGTAACATCCCCAACAGATGTAGTTGGCTGAATTATCTTATCTGCGTCCTCTGTTTACGACCTAGTACGACATATTATTCGTTGCGTAATCTTTCTACTATGTTGATTTAATTGCTGTGAATTGGTGAAATGGGGGAGCTGCATCTATAACTATTGGTGAATCGTCCCCAAAAGTTCGAGGACGCGGTTAGAGGTTTTTTTTATTGACATTAACCTGATACTTTTATTCTGAAATCATGGCGCATAATCCTGCAATTTAGATTCATGGGTGACATAAACGTACGTGAATTATTAATATTCTATGGAAAGTGCTTTATTTCGCAGCAAAACTTTTACTGGTTCAGAGTTTCTCTTATCTTACGTTCGTAGGATCATTGCTAAAATACTGTTGACCATTAAATCTCTCTTGATCTTGGAATACTCCAGACATGACGGAATTTCAGTGTAAACTCTGGATATCATACAACTTCACTTTCAGAACCCTTAGAATGCTATTCCCACATTTGCGGAAAGTTTCTAAGTACTACTTTTAATGTAACATGTTCTAAAGTAAATTTTACATTAACCATAAGCTAAAATGCAACTAATTATTTCCTTATACCATAAATCAATCCCTTCAAAGATATTTAGATTGCTACAAAATACCACGTAATGCGATTTCATTCAGGTCAATCGCACGCTGAGTAAACACAAATATGTGTGAAATTGATAGTACTTAAAGTCTCTTTAGAAGACATGTTTCAGATACAGAGAAATATTTTAGGCGCCATCATAACCTTGCGTTATTTTTCTCAATTATTTCTCAAGCAACATAGCAGAGCTTTGTATTTGTAGAATTCGTACTCTGAAGGCCACGTTATTCATTACAAAGTGATGTTACTGGATAATTAACAGGCTATTTGAAGCCAGTAGCATTAAGTAAGTCGTCAACAGGGGCTTTACGAGGGACAGACGTAAATGGCACATACCATGCGTTTAATACATAACTTTTGGTTCTTGAATCTTAACGAAGGAGCACATTACGGCTTTTATCTTGAACCATCTTCACTGTTGAAGTTTCGTTATTGGTATTTGAAAACAAAAATCTCATACCATAAAGTGAAGTTGGTTCCATGAGCCGGTGAACGTCAAGGTCTTTGTAAAAACTAAATTTAGCTTTTTGATACCTTTTCGTTAAGCTCTAAGTTTGCTTTTAAAAGATCTAAGTTGAGAACTAGTCTCAGGCAACCGTGATCCGATATTATAGGGTAAGTGTTTTAAGGCTTTGGCTTCATCAAATACTTCGAGCTACTGAAAAATGGCAACGAACCTAGTCTGAACACGTCTCTGAATTCTGTCTTTGGAGGATTTCGCGATTACTCTTTTGCAAGAAGTCCTCAGGTCAATGCCGAGTTAAACGTGAAGCAATTTTTACTTAAACCTCAGATCAAGTTTTGTCTGATACACCTATTCGTGCATGAATTTATATCTCGGTACATTAGGTAGACATAGTTATTGTTCTGTTGACACCACGGAATATACTTTTTAAGAGGTCTCCTCTAATCCAGAATTGCTGAAATTTAGTGGGGAATTTTTGGAGTTTTCAAACTTGCGTAGGAATAAGTAAACAATGCCTGAAGAGGATTTACGTCTTTGAAGAGCATATCTTTCCAGGGCTTGCCCTAGTAATTAAGATCAGCGAAATGTGCCCAGTTAGAGTTATATTTATGCGTTACCCAACCCTGTGATAACTCGATGTATTTGAGGTTTCCCCTAGAGACCCTATTCTCTCCTCTCACTTTTCTTGGTCTGTTTAATTTAAATTCTTGATATCTTAGTCCTTTATTTCATGATTGATAGGCACTTCTTTCGCCGTGCTGTCTGCTGTTCAAATATGCGATCCTTAGGATTCACCAATTATCGAGAATTTCGAGACGATGAAAAGATGAAGAAGGACGTGTTTCGTTACTCATCGTTCCAACAGTATTTCTATCAAGCCTTCGAAGAAATGGTCCGTGCATGCATCGCATATTGTCAGCGAATCGCAAGAATGAAATGGAATTGTAAGCAACGTCCGCATGAACCTCATCTAGGTTACGTTTTTGTCGACGTTTTGTGCTTTTATAAGTATCCGGTCTCGTCTGTAGCACACTCTTCGGAACCTATAATAATACCGTTACACAGTACCCGTGTGGACAATTATACTAGGTGGTTGTCGCAGCCACTTGCAACCCAGCGGCATTACCACAATATGCATTCACTACATTTCATTTTAGGGTGAAAAATCTCTCATGCCTATTCGCAAATTTAAACAGATTAGCTTGAGAAAAACCCACATTCTTTTTTTGCAGCTTTCCAAATCATTTGAAACCTGGTTTGTTGAAGCTTACAAAACTTGGATTTTCTGAGATTTAGGTTGACGAACACTTTGCATAGTGACGCGTTTTCTAGGTGCTACCACGTATATTTGAGTCCCCCGGGCATTTTCCAATAATTACCACTTATTGCCACGAACATAACAGTAAAGGCTCTTAAGATCTGGCTGAAAGAGTGGGAACGCGCTGATTAGGGTCTACATGACCATCTCGAGCCAATATCCCGTATCTTGTGATAATTGAGTGGCCCGTGTGTTTTCTGGAATTATAGGGGACATTTCATAAGTATCTTCTACACGTAATTGCTCTTCGAAGTGAATAGATATTTAAATTCATTAGAGCATTACCTGACCTTTTATTGTGGTTTAGAACTAATGGGCAGCCGAGAAAAAGACAATGCCAAGCTCGATGAGGTAGTTTCCTCACGTTTTTTTCCGGAGCACTCCATATCTTTGGCCGAACTAGAAACAATCTGCTCTCGCAAAGTTTCTACATTAACGTATCCACTGGCGTCTACTTTTCAGGAGAATGTCCCCATATATGAGTTAGCATCATTTTCTGACTGCGATCAGAGCATTGTTTCCATGCTAAAGGATGAGTGGTATCATATTCTTTCTTCCGGGCCAGGCGTTTTCGTAGTAAAAGCAATGTACAACACAAAAGCGTACGAGGAAGTACTAAAATCAACAAACTTATCTTTTGAAAAAATTTTGGAGCGAGAGAAGCGGCATGCTAAGGATAGCAAGGGGGATCATTTTGCCGCTGATGGGTCGAACGATCGTATTTGGAACTCATTTAGTAAGCATGCTTTTGAGGATTCAAATTCATTTTTTGAGTACTACTCTAATCCCTGGTTGGCGCATGTGTGTGATGCTTGGCTGGGTCCAGGATACCAGGTCACAGCCCAGGTGAATAACGTAAAGCCTGGCAGTCAGCCACAGGAATGTCATCGAGATTATCATCTTGGAATCCAAAGCAGAAGCAAATGTGTTCGCTACCCAAGAGGATTGCAAATTGCGAGTCAGTATTTAACCTTACAGGGAGCAATCGCCCACACCAACATGCCTCTAGAGAGTGGACCTACAAGATTTTTACCTTTTAGCCAAACCTTTGAGCGCGGTTATATTGCCTTCCAGCTGGAAGAGTTTCGAAACTTTTTTCTCCACAACTACGTAGCGCTACCGCTGGAATTGGGAGACGGAGTTTTTTTTAATCCGGCACTTTTTCACGGTGCTGGCGCGAACACCACTGAAACCTTCCTTCGTAGTGCAAACCTCCTGCAAATCAGTAGCGCCTTCGGTAAGCCCATGGAGACAATTGATTCACTTCCTATTGTTGAGCGTTGCTGGGTACTTCTCAAAGAGAGATACGCCAAAGAAGGTCTCAGTAGCAGGGTCTCCGCGTTTATAAGTGCCATATTCAACGGATATCCATATCCAACTAATCTTGATAAAAGACTACCCGCTCCAAACAGTATGATGCCTGAAAGTGAGCAGGATATCGCCGTACGGGCACTTCATGACAATTGGTCGACCGAAAAAATCATGGAGTGCTTGAGGCAAATCAAAAGCGATTCAAAAGCCTGATCTTGTAAATCTGACTTGCTCCTTTCCACTAGGGAGTGTACTCTACTACGATTCAAAAGACTCTTGTAGTTTGCAGTAAAAATTCAAAATTGAGCATTCCTGATTCCGTACAAACATTTTTTGCTGCACTTTCATACCTTACGACTTCTGAAAACATTATCACGCATCTGGGCAACAACTATTCAACAATATCCCCTGATATCCTCAATATATAGGCTTCCGCAACAGAATCCACTTCAATGGCTTTTCGCTGCTGGCTAAATGTTGAAGGTCGAACTCGGACTTAATACGCAGAGAAGAAAATATATAAAATGCATATATATTTTAACATCTTATGGTTTTTCAATGTTCAAGTGGTTTCAAAATTACTGTTTTAATTATGCTATTTGACCTATCTTTATTAGAGGATATTAAAAAATGTTTTCTAGCCAACCCCAAGAGTGAGAATAACATCGTCTTGGGAAATCATATGTTTTGAATTTATCGGAGTATAAATTTATTAACATAGAGAGTTCTTTACAATTATCAGCTTTTATTATAATATGAGATCTCAAAATCCCTTAACCTAGGGCTACCCATGTCGCGGACTGCAGAGTGCAGTGGGAATTCACGTATGGATTGGAAGCTTCAGCATTATTTTTGGTTATGGTCCCAGGGTTGGACAAAAAGAGCCTAAAAAAGTTTTCATCCCAAAGTGAGACAAAGACTTGTGCTGTGAAAAACTTACCTTTGCAAAGTGAGACAAAAAGTCTTTGCAAAGTAGGACAATCGATTATAAATGTACTTCAACGTAGTCCCCTGCAAGCCATAACTCAGGATACCATAGAGTGAATAAAGCGCTATATTACAAAGCATTCAGAAACCCATATTCAAAAGCTCTAGGTCATGTGATAAGCACGTGAGTATCACATGTCCCTCACATGACCTACTGTCAAGCTGTCACAAAATACGAACTAAGGGACACATCACTTCAAACGCGCCTTGAAGAAAAAATCTTTGGCTATATCTTCAAGCCGTTTAGTATGCTATTTGCGTATATCTGCGCGCGATGCTGCATATGCCTACAATCAATATTAAACTTTCCAGAAATAAGATGATACTGTGGGAACAGATAGAAAGAGGTAAAATAAATGTATTTATGGACTACTCTGGGTCAATGTTCGAGATATGGGAATGTAACTTCAATCTCGCAGGAGTCGCTATATGTCATTAATATTGGGGGTATACACTAGTTAGAGACAAATAGAGATGTCTTACAGATCGAATCAAAGCTCGGGAAGATACTGTCACAGTTCAGCACTACGTAAAGTTGAGTTCACAGAGATATAGCTAAAGCAGATATCACATGCATCTATTGAGAAATGGCGCATTAATCGTTAACCACGGAGTGGGAACTCTAGCCGTAATTTCGTATAGCCATACACGGCACTCATGAAGTGCTGTCGCGATCTACGGTCCGTCCGGTGTCATACTCAACGAGCATAAACCGTTGTTGTGCCAACGCGTAAACCTTTAATTACACTTCCATTTTTTGACAGCAAATCGCGTATCGCGTAAGCAGATGACAGAATATTTATGCAGCCACATGCGAAGCAGAATGATTCATCAATCAACCAGCATCGAAGGATGTTTGAAAAGATATCAGAGCGATTCACAGTTGTTGATGGCTTCGTTGTGAAGAAAGAAAAGGATGGGAGCAGGAAAGTGGTGAACGTAACGCGTGGCCTCGCAAGACCGACAAAAGAGGAACGCGCCAAAATCTCGGTTCACAGACTGCAAGATCTGTCGTTCTTTCTAGCTCAAAGTGATGAGCTCCTTCCATGCTCTTCTAGAATGCTTTTCGAAACCGCAGACACCGTACGGAAGCTGTTCTATAGATCTCCTAATGGATATAAGGCAGTGGTGAAGCGGCGTACTAAAAGCCCTGACATCAAAAAAGCACGCGAATTCGAGGTGATACCGATAAACTACCCCCACAAGAAGTTCAGATTTCTTTATCTAAACAGCGTGGATGACGCTTGCATCAGCGATCATGAAGACTCGCGGGCTGAAGCTGTTCTTTCAAAAAATAATTCAATGGTGTTCAAGATGCTTCATATCGAAGAGCTGCCTCTGCTAGACGAAGACTACGAAGTTCTCAAAGAGTATCAGTTCCAGAGACTAGCCTACGCAAAAGAATGCGAAGAAATGTTCCGGCATGCTTATGACCTGGCCATGAAAATTAACGTATCGCGTCTTTTGACGCCGAGTTTTGCGGACCGGGTCAACGGAGAGCCTCTTCTCAAGAAACTGCAATACCAAACCGTCAAGAAATATGGAAGAGATATGGGTGAAACATATTTTGTTCTGGTCAACCTGGATCGCATGCCACTGCGGCAATATGTACGGGGACTGAGTGTTAACAGCGACCTACTCAATGACTGCGTTGGGCAGTCGCATCGCATTCCCGAAAAGATAGAGTATCTTCATGAGATGCACCACAAGATGCTTGCCGAGGATACCATGACAGACCTTGTACACGTTTTGCTTCGGATGATGCCACTGACATTGGAGCGCAATAGTGACAGTAGAGAATTGACGGTGAAAAATCTGTACCAAATTCGCATACACTTGCAGTCGCTCATGGCGTGGATAAAATATAGTGAGTTTTCTCAGCGGCTCAACGGGTCTGAGGAGTTGTTTGAGGAGGGCGGGTCGACGATATGGAGACATCTTCGAAGGCTGTTTCGAATCGTGGCAAAAGAAGCCGACAAAACACCGAGATACAGCATCGAATACTACGGAAGCGACAGCGTGCGCGTGGCGGGCAAGGAGTTTTCGCGAGGGTACATACGAAGCTTCTACTACGAGGTGAAACAGCAGTTCGACGAGCTGTGGGAAGAAATAGACAAGGTGTACTTGCTGGGAACAATCAAAACGGTTGGGGATATGCTGCTGGAGAGTAGATTTCTGAAAGTCGAGAACAAGGGCAAACCTTTCTTTTCAATAGAATCCCTTTTTCCTACCGGCGAGCGCATTTCGCTCTTTCCATCTCCACGAACAAGACCAACAGTCTTGCATATCACCACGGTTCTTGATGCAATTGATAAAATGACGGTTCTGCTCATGTGGATGGTGTGGTTTGCAGCCGGGCCTCCGTATCGGTACCCCGAACTCCAGACGCTGGCGTACGCCGGAAAACAGCGAAACATATTCATAGACATGGAGACCAGATGCGTGCAAATCCGAACCAACTACAACAAAAATGGAAAGTTTACCAATATCGTGAAACTGCTCGACAGGTGCACGTCTCGATACGTTATATACTACATCATGGTGCTGAGGCTTCTTCAGAGACGGCTTTTAGGGGTAGGATTACGCTGCATGCCATGCGCTCGAATGGGGATGACAGCTACGATCACGACATTCAGTTTGTCGAGGGCTGCCAGGACCTGTCGGCCAAGGCGATCTCAAAAATGATGCTAAACCAGTTATTTTTCTGGATACACAGGAAGGGCGGCTGATGGGGTACTGGCGATTCCAACGATTTTTTGAATTGCATCCCACAGAGACCGCTGCGGCAGAGCGTCTCAATACTGCGGGAGATGAGACACGGCCTAATAGCGCTGACTAGACGGTATGTGGATAATGAAAAGTCGATGGCCGAGATACTGGCCATGGCCGTGAGTGAAGCGGGAGCAGGACATTCGGTGCTCACTGGCGAGCAAGTGTATGCGTCGAATGCGTTTTCCTTTGAGAGTTTATGTGGACCGA